GGAGAGGCCACAACAGTGAGAGGCTCGCGTACCGCAAAAAAAAAAAAAAAAAGAGCTGGCAGGGCTCCCCAGGAACAAGCCACAGCAGACTCACATCATCTTCCAAATGAAAGACTTCCATCTGGTGATGGCCGCAGATGGAGTGGACTGAGGTTAGATGGGGCCCCAGATGGAGTTTGCTAGGACATTCTTTGCATTTGCCTGAGTGATCTTACCCAGCAGCGCTGGTGCATGTGAGAATGGTGGCCCTCAGGGAGCGTGGGCAGCATGCTGAGGTCCCCTGGCAGGTCAGTACCTTGGTCTCCTCCTTTTCTTCCTCCTCCTCCTTGTTCTCGTTATCATTATTAAGATTTGGATGATAGCATTGACAGAAGCGATTTGGGGCGGATTCAGCAGTTGGCCAGATCTGCAACAAGCTGGAGGAGCACAGAGTTTAGCACTATGGCACTTGCAGGTTGGAGATGAACACATTTGGGTTGAGACCTGCAAATTTCCTCACGTGGTTGTTGTGAAAACTCCATGAAATAAGGTGTGTTAAGCTCTTGGCATCTCTGGCATGTAGACGCTTACATAGTCAATAAGTGGTGAGTTGCATATTTATATCATGAAGCATCCTTTATAAATGAAGCAAACATTCCATCCTGAAATAAGACCACATGTTCCAAATTTTGCCCCTGAGAAGGTTGTCCCATGTGTGGCTCAGGGCACTCTGGACGGTTCTGTCAATGGGGTCTACATGGCTGTGGTTGGACAAGGTTGCCTAAGCTGTGAGGGTAGTGCAGCGGGGCTGTGTGCAGAGGGCTGCAGGGGTGCAGCCGGACCAGGGTCAGCAGGGCAGCCTCCTGCCCAGGTGTGGGATACATCAGGTGGTTCTAAACTGTCATCTGGAGAACAGTGAAAGACAGAGAGTGAGAGAGCGAGAGAAAGGGGGAGTTTGTGTGATGGTGTATGTGCATTTGAGTGTGTGATAGTATGTGTATGGATTTGAGTGTATGTGACTGTATGTATGTGAGTGTATGTGTATATGAGTGTGTGTATATGAGATTGTGAGTGTGTATGTGTTGTGAAAGTGTGTGAGGGTATGAGTGTGCCTGTGTGTGTGTGTGTGTCTTTGTGAGCTCAGCATTAGGGCTTCAAGCAGATCAGTTATTCTTTGACAAAGGGGGAGAAGTGGCTTCATCCCAGTTGGAGTCATACAATGGTAGATCTGGAAAGGACTGTGGAGATAATTAAGCCCAATCCCAGGTGACGGGAATTCGAGGCTGAGAGAGGTGGGAAGGACATCTCAGGGCCAGCTGGTGGAGTGATGTGACTGCCTCTTCCTCTTCAAGGAACGTTGGTGGGCACTAATCTCTGATGTCAGTGGCATCCCCTTTGAGGACTCAGTTTGGAAAGGATGTTACGAGAGGCTCAGCTCTCCCTGGTGGCCAGTCTTGTAAGCCCTTTCAGGTTGACAAAGCTCGAGACCAGGCTCACATAGGAATGGGCTGAAAGGTAGGTCTGGCATGTGTTTCCTCAGGAGCTGTTTAAAGCTCAGAGGTTAGACAAAGAATTTGACTTTTTAATGGGGTAAAAGCTTGGGAGAAGTCGGAGAGAAGGCAGGAAAAGGAGACCTAAACCCTCAACATGCCCTCATTTGGTGTTTGGGTCACATGGTTGACTTGGTGTTCACCTCTGGGGGCTCTGGGAGGGTGACATGGCCAGTGCAACCAAAGCAGGCTTGGCGACACACACTTGGGTTTCAATCCCAGCTGCGCCTCATCCTTGCAGGCGGCATGGGGCAGGATGCTTAGTATTGCAGGACTTGGGTCCTCTTCATCTGTGAAAGAGGGTGATGACCCTCCAGGTGTGCTGAAGATGGAAGGAGGTGACATATGCAAAACGTGTCACAGACTCCTGTTGCCAAGATAGTGAGAAGGAGGGCAGGCACCTGTGCTTCCTTTTACAGGTGGGGCAGGAGGCAGGGCAAGAGGAAGGAGCTAAGATGAACTCAAGTGATGTTCCTGTGAGGAAGGAGTGGAGCTGTCCCCTCCTCACGGTCCTCCTGGGCTCAGGAGACATATCTGTTAATGATGACAACTCGGAACACTCAGCTGAGCGTGGTTCAGCAAACCTCTCACAAGCTGAGGGGGCGCTTGAAGATGGGTTTGCAAGCCTTAAGAACTTGCTGGTGGAGCAGATCAGGGAAGGGCAGGGATGAATGTCTTCCCAGAAGGGCTGACAGCTCCCTTTCCTCCTGGGTGCCACCCTTACTTATGGCCATTGTGTGTCTCCCCTGCAGCCATGAGCACCTCGAGGGCAAAGTGATGCCCAGCAGGTTGGCACAACTGGCATATTTGACAGTTGTTGGGTGAGCAGAGGAGAAGCAAGTGTATGAATGTGTGAAGAACAATTGTGGTCACTTCAAGAGAGTGGAGAGGGAGACCCACACTTGGTGCAGGGGCAGGGCCTGGTGGAGAGATGGCTGCCCCCAGGTGTGGGAGCAGGGAGCAGGAACAGCTCCAGACCCACCGCGCCATGTCTGGATGTTACTGTCCAGCCTTTACCCTCTGGTCACCTGTGCTTGCAGCAGCTCCCGTGTCCAAGTGCTTGTAGCATCTGGGCATTTCTGATGATTTGGGAGAAAAATTAGCATACTGAGCAGCAAGGAACAAAAACTGCTTTAAGTCAGGGTGCAAACATATTAGAGTTGTCAACCAAGTGAGACTGACTGGTAGAAGCCTTGTGCCGCTGTTAAAAGAGCAGCTGCTGCCTGGAGGTTGACGGATGGGGGGCAGTACTGAGCCTGGCCTCTGGGTGGCAGCATTGTGCGCTGTGGTCCTTCCCCCCGATGGAGTCCTGGAGGTGAAAGCATTGTGCTCTGAGTCAGGGTGAGTTGCTGCATCTGTAGTAGTCAGGGTTCTTTGGATGCAAAGGACAAAAACTGTCTCTTGCCAAGTTAGCCAAGAAGATTAATTAGAAGGGCTGCTTGTCTAATATCACACAGCTGAGGACTGGCCGAGCCTGGACTCACAGGGACACTTGTCTGCCCCGAGTTCATGCTCCTATCAGCACTTGCCCTGAGACACCAAGGTCCCAGGTGAGAGAAGGCTTTCTATAAGTTCCTACAACCTGCGTGCTCCTGTACGTCCCTGAGTGGAGAGCACATGTCTCACTGCCTTTTGCTTCCTCTCTCTGCAGAGCCCTGTGGTCCGAGTGTGCTGACCCAAGCACCAGGGGAGCCCTTCAATCCCACGGCCCCTCCCCGGGCCCAGAAGCCTCAGAGACTGACAGCTGTTGGAGCATCCACCTTGCTCAGCTGGCCCAGGCCCTGCGGTCCCCATGGCTGCCGGGAAGGGAGCTCTGCGGAGCCCTTCAGCTGAAAACAGATGGCGGCTTAGTGAACCCGAGCAGGGCTGGGGCCGCAAGCCAGTGTTGCTGGAGAAAACAAACTGCCTGGGCTCTGAGGCTGCCCTGGGCAGCGGTGGCCGGGATGAGGCCTGTGCCGAGATGGCGCTGTCAGCAGCCCCGGGCGAGCTCAGGCTGGGAAAGCTGAGGCCCCGGAAGGCTTGCTGGGAACAGGGGCAGAGCGCCTTCATGGAGGTGCCTCGGCTCAAGAAGAGGCTTGGGGGCAGGCAGGCCCAGGAGAGGGTGCACAGTGGCCCTGCAGCCCAGCCGGGCCCCCAGCAGCTGACCCTGGACAACCCCAGGGACCCGGCTAGCATCACCTGCTTCTCAGTGGGGCCCAGTGGGGCCCACGGGGAGCAGAGAAGTGCCTTCAGCAAGCCAACCAGGAGTCCAGCAGGGAGACCGGGGCCAGACTCCGTCTTCCAGGCAGGCGGACCCGTAGACACCCTGGGGGAGCTGCTGGGACTCATCAACACAGTAGATGTCCGTTGCTGGGGTCGACTTTCCAACTCCAAGCTTCTGGTGGGTGATTTCTGGAACCTGCAAATGGTGCCACCAAATGCTCGTCTCTGTGGCACTTTCCTGGGTGACCCCATGCTGTGGCTCAAGCATGCCACGGCCCAGATGCCCACACCTCCGTCGTGCTCCTCCACCGCCTCTTGGGCCCTGCTGCCCCCCGCGCTCGCCTCCCTGGGCCTGTCCACCCAGAACTGGTGCGCCAAGTGCAACCTCTCCTTCCGCCTGACCTCCGACCTGGTCTTCCACATGCGGTCCCACCACAAAAAGGAGCACGTGGGGCCCGACCTGCATTCTAAGAGGCTGAGAGAAGAGGCCCTCACGTGCCCCGTTTGCCACGAGTACTTCCGCGAGCGCCACCATCTCTCCCGGCACATGACTTCTCACAGTTAACAGGTGGTTTGGAACAAGGGCGTCCAGTACGCGGTCGTGAGGCTGAGATGGCTCACGGGGCCTTCCTCCGAAAAGACTGGTCACAGTTGTCCGCAGGGCCGTCTCCTTGGGCGTTTGAGGATGAACAGCTCAGTCATAATTGGAAAAAGTCAACCCGCCCCCGGGAAGTGCTTTAAAGGAAGTAATGTCGTGAAATGATGCGCTTTGCTAATGGCAGGGTATGGTGACGAATAGGCATCAAGTGTTTCTGACATTTTCAAGAGTGAGGGCTCTGCTCCCGTCACCATAACTCTTGCTCCATGTGGAAGCAAGTCTGGCACCCAGCACGGGCTTTGGAGGCAGACAGACCTGGATTGGGATCTTGGCCCTTTCACATACTGGCCCTGAGCCTGGGCAAACTGCTCTAGCTATCTGAGTCCCGGCGTACTTCTCTGCAAAAATGGAGATGGTGACACCTGTGTCTGAGGGATGTTGTCAGGATTGTATGGGAAGACGTGTGGGAAATGGTCAGCATGTGCCCGGCAGTGTCATCACAGAGTAAACAGTACTATTAGCATGATCCAGACTAGTCAACTATTGTTAAGTGACAAAGTTTCAGTGGCAAACAATGCAGAGCCCCTGTTTCTCAGTCATGGGCCTGTGGGTTGGCTGGGGTTGAGCTGGGCTTGGCTCCAAGGTTGCTTTCTCTCTCAGGACTGTTGGGCTGCCCAGTCATGCTTCTCTCATGGTTACGCCAAGAGCACAGCAGGACAAGTCCAAATACCCAAGCACAACTCAAGCCTCTGCTTGGCTTGCTTCCACTAATGTCCCCTCGGCCAATACAAGTAGATGGCCAAGCCCAAAGTTAAGGGGTGAGGTGTGCATATGGCCAACGGGGAAGTCATGAGTGAGTGTATAATCCTACAGGGGCCGGCGGAATTGGGACCAATCATTCAACCAACACCTGGTCCCTGGTTCTTCACATTCTGAATACGTGAAAATGGGAAAATGAAACAACGCATACATGCACACATACACGCACACACCCCCCTTAACTCTCAGGAAGTGAGCATGCACAAAACCTTAAGGCTTGAGACATTGTGAAGACTGGGAGAGTTCTGGGTACCGTTTATTATCTGATGCATGTTGAGTTTCAGTACCTATGCTGTTTATCCACATTTGTCCTTATTCCTAACAATGCAAACCTCAGGTCATACACTCTGCTGTAACACAAGCCAGTCTGTGTGAAAGCCCTTTGTTGGAATTTCTTTCAAGTCACTGCAGTTCTTTTGAGTGGTTTCCACCTCACTTTCAAGATTTGTTCATTTGACCTGCAGTTTCCAACCCCTCCTCTGGGGCCTCAGTCACAGAGCTCAGGCTTGTGGGTGGGAAGGAGCTGGTGGGGGTCTCAGCCAGCAGCGAGCCAGCCATCCAAACACCCGCAGACTCCGCATCCCCTCTCCATCTCCACGGCAGGCTCCCACCTTGCCCGAGGCAGCTGTATGTCCCCCCTGGCCCAGCCCACACCTGTCCCTCTCTCTCCCACTCCCCCCACCTCCCACCCATTCTCCACAGCCAGAGGTATATTCATTCATTTCTTGGCCTCCCTGGGCACCTGTGCTGTGCCAGATTGTGTGCCAGGCTCTGCTGGGGGCACAGTGAGTTCGACCCACCGTGTGAGTCGAACATAGTCCTTGTTCAGGGTGTGAGATGATTAGGGTGCAGTGCGACAGATGCAGAACAGAGGCCTGTGCCGGGGTGCTGGGCACGTCGGGGGGCATGCCCAAGTCAGACCTGTGGGTAGGGGAGGAGGGTACCCCTGGAGGCCTCCTGAGGGTTGGGGATGTGAGCTGAGCCTCAGAGTCCAGCAGGAGCTGATGATTCAGACAGGGAGGGCAGTGCTGGGGAGAAGGTGGTCCTGAGCTGTAGTGCCTGAGGCTGCTCCAAGGCCCAGGTGGGGCAGACTTAGTGGGGAGGTGGGCCTCTGAGATGGAGACATAGGAAGGCATCAAAGGAAAGGAGTTCAGACCAGGGCCCTGGAGGGCCGGCTCCAAGAAACCCTTCCAGGGGGCCTCTGGCTGCAGCAGGAAAAGTGGGCTGGAGGAGAGGAGATGGACCCTCTGAGCCGTTTCCTCTGCATCTGGAAGGAAGCAGCAGTGCTCCACAGAGGCAACAAAGAAGCACCCCCATTTCTATAGTGAGGCTTGGAGGCCCCACCCTCCCTGAAGGAGGTCAGGAGTCCTGCAGGCCGGGCCCCTTTGGGAGCTGCGTGGGGCTACAATTTGCCCACCGGGAGGCTGTGCCCAGAAGGGGGCTGAAGCTTTGGGGAGCCTCCCTCTCCTGCCGTCCCACGTGGGGAAGAAGATTAATTAGAAGGGCTGCCGTCCCATGTGGGACAGGAGAGGGCACCTCATGGGGTTGGAATCTGAGACTCCACACCATGCAATGATGTACATTATGTCATTTAATCCACATGATATGCCCAGGAGGTAGATACTTTTAAATTTTAATTAATTAATTAATTGATTTTTAAATTTTGGCTGTGTTGGGTCTTCATTGCGCGCGGGCTTTCTCTAGTTGCGGTGAGCGGGGGCTACTCTTTGTTGCAGTGCGCGGGCTTCTTACTGCAGTGGCTTCTCTTGTTATGGAGCACAGGCTCTAGGCGCACGGGCTTCAGTAGTTGTGGCATGTAGGCTCAGTAGTTGCAGCACGTGGGCTCTAGAGCACAGGCTCAGTACTTGTGGCACACGGGCTTAGTTGCTCCGCAGCAGGTGGGATCTTCCCAGACCAGGACTCGAACCCGTGTCCCCTGCATCGGCAGGCAGACTCCCAACCACTGCGCCACCAGAGAAGTCCCGCAGGAGGTAGATACTTAATTCCCATTTTACTACGGAAGAAACTGAACTCCAAGAGGTCAGCTGACTTTCCTAAGACCATGGGTTCTGGAGAAGCAGTACAAGAATAAGACCCCAGGACTGCCCCACTTGTGCTCACATCCTTCCCAGCCTGCCATGCGTCTGCTCAGCCAGGTTGTGTGGCATTGTGGACGATGAAGAAACTGGGACTTAAGACAGGCATTGACTCCCTGTCTACAATTTCAACTTGCACCCTTCCTCCCCTCCCCAACATTTTCTATTGCCCTTCCCTTGAGCACTTTTCACCGTTTTGCTTACTCTTTTTACTGATTTGTCTTGTTTCTTGTATTTCCCATCACTAGGATGTAAGTTCCATAAGGGATTTTTGCTGTTTTGTTCGCTGCTGTATCCCCAGCAGCTAGAGCAATGTAGGCAGATAGCAGGCATTCCACAGACCTTTGTGGGAGGAATGAACGAGATGCCTGGTTCTGGCCTCATTCCTGACACACCAGCTTCGCACGAGGGTTTCGACATGTGTTAAAATGGATGCACAGCTGTCCTCCTCTGACTTGTCGGATTGCTCATAATTTCTTAGGAATCAGTGTGACAGGCATAAGTGCACTATACTAAAACAATAGGAATTTAGAATTGAAAGGGATTCTACATTTCTAGTCCATCCCCTGACTTTATAGCAGTGAGCACTGAGGTCCATGACGAGCTGACGTGCAAAGCGATGCAAGGCAAGAGGTGGTGAGGTCAAGGCTAGGACCCCTGAGATGTCTACACTGGTGTGTCTTCCCTGGCCCACCCACACTTCTCTGGGAACCTCGGCTATGGCCGCAAACAGAATGATTACTGATAGTAAGCACGTCATTCATAAGCAAGAGAGACATTTTGAAAAAAAATTAATTAATTTTATGACGAAGCACAGGAAAACATCTCCCAAGTCAACTTTTTAAGATGGAGTTCATTTTGGTAAAAATTGATGTAGATGCAAGTTGCTTTGTAGCCATTCAAATTGACAGACGCCAAGATGACTTATGGAGGTGATGACTTACAGTTTATTAATGTGGCAGTTCCTACTTGTCACCAGGCCGCGTTCCCAAAGTCCCCATGGCAGTTGAAGCCTGTCTCGTCCCTTCTCTCTCCTACTCTCCTATATGGACTTGAGGTCAGTCACTTTTAATCATGACTTTGCCCATGTTCTCTCTGCCACCTTCCATCCCAGTTAAGAGCTGGCGGATGGTGTTGCCACAGAACATCACATCAGCAGGTATGAATTTTACTTGACAATTCTGGGGTAAGAATCATCACGTTCCTTAAATTCTCTATATCTAATTTAATCTGTTCTCTACCGTAATCCTATTCTGGTAGGACAGGCAGTCTGTCTTTTTAAAATCCCTCCCCTGTCTCTCCAGTTTACAGAACATTCCCCAGCACCTCCCACCTAAGAATACCCTCTCTTAGCATCAAGCAGCATCCCCATGCCATGTTGGTGTCTTCGCCTCTATCCTCCAACGTGCTCTGGATCTTCTCCCAGGATCTTAGCCCTGCTGGTTTTCTGGCAATACCATCATTAGGCAGGTAACACAGGAGCCACTGAGCCAATAAACAGAAAGTCTTGGCTTGCTTTTTGGACAATGGGAGAGAAAATACCTATAGTGGCTGGAAAAATAGCAAATTATATCTCAATATATGACCTCCCAAAACAGCAGCCATTCCATTAAGATTTCTAAAAGTCCCCCAAATGTGCTCATGAGGCTAAAATGAGACATTCTGAATTCAGATCCATTTTAGTTCTCAATTTTTACCGAGATTTGCTTTTCTTTCTGCTTTTATCTGGAAGAGAAGTAAAACCTTAACAAGGCCAGGGTCCTAGGTCCATATCTACTTCTGGCCAATTTCTGAATCTTAGACCGCAGATTCTACTCAAAAGACTATATAATTATGTTAATGAAAGTGTGTGTTGCCCACTGGGCTTGGGGAGAGCGGAGGGAAGGGGAGGTGAGGGTCAACCTGACACCTGGAGCTCATGTGTCCTAGGTGAAGGCTCCTTAGTGCCAGGCCAAGTGCAGCTCTCAAGAGAGGCCAGAAATCAGGACCGTATGTGGAATTGTCTCTCTAAAAAACTGATGGCCAAAATGGCATGGACTTAAGGAAGCACGT